TATTCATGTCATATTTCACAGAGCTAAAACAAATATTTCAAAAATTTACATGGAACTAAAAGTCCCTGGATAGTTTTAGCAATCTTGATAGAGAAGAAAAAAGTTGGAAGTGTCATACTACCTGATATAAACCTATACTACAAGACCATTGCAATCAAAACTGCCCGGTACTGGCATAAGAATAGGATATAGACATCTTCAAACTATGGGGTCTTCAAACTACGGCCCGCGGGCCACATGCGGCCCGCAGAAGAGTCTGATCCGGCCCGCCAGGTTTTTTGGGCAGTGAGCGCAGCCGAGGTGTTACAGTAGGAATTAGTAGTTCATATAGTCTGGCCCTCCAGCTCTCTGAGGGACCGTGATCTGGCCCCCACTTTAAAAAGTTTGAGGACGCCTGATAGAGCCCAGAGATCAACCCATGCCATTATGTTCAGTTAATATTTCACAAAGGAGGCAAGAGCATACAATGGAGTAAAGATAGTCTTCAATAAATGGGTTGGGGAAAATTGAAAAGGTATATGCAAAAATAATAAAATAAAACTAGACCACCAACTTATACCATAAACAAGAATAAACTCAAAATTGATAAAAGACTTAAATGTAAGATGTGAAACCATAAAAATCATAGAAGAAAACAAGCAGTAAAATCTCGGGCATCTATTGGAACAGTGCTTTTGCTGATTTGTCCCCTGGGACAAGGGAAACAAAGTAAAAAATTGTAAGTTGGACTACTTCAAACTAAAAGATTTTTGCACAGCAAAGGATACCATAAACAAAATGAAGAGGGAACCCAATAGAACATATTTGCCAATGATACATCTAGTAAGGAATTAATTTCTGAAATATATACAAAATGTATACCACTCAACACCAGGAAGACAAACAACCCAATTTAAAAATGAGCAAAGGATCTGAATAGACACTTCTCCAAAGAGGACACACAGATGGCCAATAGTTATATGAAAAACGTTCAACATCCCTAATCAACAGAGAAGCACAAATTAAAACCACAATGACTTGTCACCTCACACCTGCCAGAATGGCTATCGTCAGTGAATCAACAAACAACAAGTTCTGGAGAGGACGTGGAGAAAAGGAAACCCTCATGCACTGTTAATGAGAATGCAGACGCATACAGTGAGTGTGGAAGGCATTATGGAGTTTCCTCAAAAAGTATAAATGGAACTCCCATTTAACCCAGAAATCCCACTTCTGAGAATATATCCTAAGAATTCCAAAACACTGTTTGAAGGAATATATGCATATGCACGCCTATGTTCAATGTAGTGTTATTTACAATAGCCAAGATCTAGAGCCCAAGTGCCCGTCAGTAGATGATTGGATAAAAAAGCTGTGTTACATTTACACAATGGAATCTTACGTGGCTATGAAAAAGAAGGAACTCTTACTCTTTGAGATGACGTGGGTGCACCTGGAGATTATTATGCTGAACAAACTAAGCCAATCAGAGAAAAACAAACACCATACAATCTCACTTATATTTGGAATCTAACGAACAAAATAAACTGACAAACAAATGGAAACAGAGGTATGGAACAGACTGATAGCTATCAGAGGGGTGGGAAAGTGGGTTAATGGAGGAAAGATGGTGAAGGGATTAGGCAAAAAAAAACCCCACATATATACATAACTCAGTCAACAGTGTGATGATAGCCAGAGAGCAAAGGGGCTTGCAGGTAGGTGGAAGTGGGCAAAGGTGTGTGGGGTAGGGAAATTGAGACAGAAAGAGACTTTGCTTGGGGCAATGGGCACTTGATGCAGTGTGTAATATTTTATTGAGTTGTATATTTGAAACCTATATGGTTTTGTGAACCAATGTCATCCCAATAATTTCAATTTAACAAAAAAGACTGTGAAGCTTGTGAAAAATAAATGGGCAAAGGAGGAGGAGCTGGTGGGAAAAATAAAAATCCATCATAAAAGAGAACCTCATGACAGTGTTGTTGTGGGAGCATGCGCTATGGCTGCACCTCATGGGTGGGGCCTCCTCCCTGGCCCAACTGCCACCTTTTCCTCCATCCCTTGCTCTTTATGATCTGAATCAGTAATGGCAGACCACTGTTGCTAGCTCCTGGGTGACTCCCCATCCCTTATGGTTCTCAGAACCCTACACATGCCTTCATTTTGTCGAACTTTGTGGAGTTGCCCTTCGTTTCCAGCCTGGACCCTGACTGATACCAGGATCTTCCCCCATCCCACCCACTCTTCCTTCATGAGTCAACGTGAGTAGAGACTTCTAGCAGCCTTCCAGATTCATTCGACACTTTGTCCATGTAACAGAACCCTGGGCATTGTGGTCCTTGGAAAAAGGGCCATGGCCTCTATTGGCATAGTGGCTCCCCCTTACCAGCAGTAGACTGGTTACTTCCAGATTTCTTGAGTACAGTTGTAAGAGAAATTTGCAGTTATAGGGAGAGGAGGGGAGAGGAACATGAAGAATATACAGGGTTAGTGGGCAGACACCTGACTTCTGAATCAGGAGGAATGGAAGACTATGTTGTGGATAACGATGCTTGGGAAGTGGCAAGAAGGGAAACAAGGGAGGGGGTTGCCTGGTGGCTGTTCTCTGTTTTGTGTGTTTTTTCATGGTGTCGGAAATGTACTTGTGGAGAATGTAGAAGGGGAATGGTATGGAGAACAAGAACCGTGAAAGTGGTGATCTTGAAGATTTAATAAAGGACCAGACAGCCACAATGAAGAGTACAAAACGAATTTGGCCAAGGCTAATGAAAAGGAACAGAAAGCAGGTTCCTTTTTCTTTCTTTTTTCTTTTTTGTAATCCTCATCCAAAGACATGGTTAGAGAGAGGAAGGGAGAGAGAAAAACATCGATTGGTTGTCTTCTGTACATACCCTGATTGGGGATTGAACCTACAACCCAGGTATGTGACCTGACCGGGAATTGAACTGGCAACCTTTTGGTACACAAGATGACAACAAACTGAGCCAGTCTGGCTGGGCGACGCTGGTTCCTTTTAAAGGTAAAAATCCAGAAAATACTCCCCCCATCCCCCACCCCCCAAAAAAAAATCTTTGGGTGAGATCTTTAATTGCATAATAGCATAATTCAGGATACTACTGAGTGGTGATTTGGCAATTTACAAGCTATTTTACCCATGTCGTTAGATCATTCAAATTACTCAGTACCAAGGGGGTTCGTCTTTGTACAATAGTAAAAGATATAGCTGGATAATTATTAAGCCTTTTTTCACACGGAACTTTAAGAGGGGCCTGTATGTAAACTTGTTTTATTAGTACAACATAAACCACATTTCCATCACACAGGCACCAAAGCCAAAATAAACTTTAACTGCATGTGAGTATAAACATGTATTATTGCTTGCATTTTCGTGAAATGGTAATAAATCAGCAGCTTGTCGTCAGTGTGCCTTTGCAAACCGGCAGCCATAAGAGCTGGGGTTAATTGTGACCTTTAGGTTATTTGAACGTATTCAAAAATTTTATTATTATTAGAGGATAAGATGTGCTTGGCTTTCTTTGTATCAAATAAGAATATTTATTCTTAAATGACACACATCCTTAGAGACTTTAGAGCAAAACCTTTCCTAATATTTAGCTGTTTTTAAATGTCAGGAGCAGTTGAGTTTATTACATGGCTGGTCCATGCCGTTGCCACAGGTCCTGCTTGTAGGTGGTACTAACAGACTGACAGTACATGGGTAGCATTTCCACATCGGGAAAATGTCCAGTTTCCTCGTGGGGAAGGGGACAGGTGTTTTCCTCGGACTTGGTGGAGGGTTTTTTGTTTGTTTGTTTGTTTTTGCATTTGGTTGGTTTAAGGGGAGATGTGAACTAAGAAGAGATTTTAGGAAAATGTATCTTTCTCATCAATCACCCTGAAACTTATAAAAGATCAGCTCATCCAGTAGATTTTGCTGATGCTAGCCGGAGGGCAGATTTGCATCAGGAATATTTTCAATCCTGAAGGAGGGAGTCTTAAGCACAGAAGTTCTTCAGAAGCTTCCACTCCCATGTGCTGGGCATCCTACTTAACATCATTCCCAGGACTGCTTAGAGAACAGGAGAGAAGAGTGGGGAGGGCGTGAATTTTAATCTCTGTGATAATGCCCATGCACACACCTCAGGCCCTGGAAAGCCTAATGCAAATGTGGGGCAGTTTTACTCTTGACAGGAATTCTCTAAAATTTACTTGGATATTCTGATTTGAGGTATAGGTGGGCTGTGGCAAAGGTAGGTTTATAATTGTCATATGGAAAATAATACAATAATTAATAAATAATACAAGAATCAACTGTTTCACAGACTCAACTATAAATCTGCTTTTGGCTCTCCCTGTATATGTGAGTGTGTGTGTGTGTGTGTGTGTGTGTGTGTGTGTATATATATATATATATATATATATGCATATATAAATGTGTGTATATATAACTGTACATATGTATGGAAGTAATAAAGCTAATTTTGACCAATGGGATTAGATGATCTTTGGATCCCTGTCTACAAATTTAGATGTGGATTTTTTTTCAGTAAACACAGTGAAGGTATTTCTCTTCCTTGTTTTTCTTAATATCTTCTTTTCTCAGATTCTTTATTATAGTAACACTAGAAGCCCGATGCACGAAATTCGTGCAAGAGTAGGCCTTCCTTCCCCCGCTGCTGACACCAGCTTCCCTCTGGCACCTGGGACCCAGGCTTCCCTCTCTGCTCCAGCTTCATCCAGAAGGACATCTCGACTAATTAGCATATTACGCTTTTATTATTATAGACAGTATGTAATACATATAACATACAAAATACGTGTTAATTGACTGTTTTACAATATTGGTAATAGGTGATAGTAGTTGAGTTTTGGGAGTGTCTAAGTTACACGTGGATTTTTTACTTCATGAGGAGTTGGTACCCTAACCCACACATTGTTCAAGGGTCAACTGTAGAATAAACTTTCACCGAATCATGCTTTACCTCTTTTTTTGTTTTGCTTTTTTTCTTTCTCCCTAGCGCTCACCTGAAGTTCACCAACCTCACGCTAATTTCAACCCACGGACTCCCTGGGAAAAAACTTCTGGGCTCGGAACAAAGGAAGTTTTTAGCAAGCGAGTATGAATTCTATTTGCTCTTTCCTTCCTAAATGTCCTAATGTTTTTGTTTTTTTAAAAAAATATATTTTATTGATTTTTTACAGAGAGGGAGAGAGAAAGAGAGAGTTAGAAACATCGATGAGAGAAAATCATCGATCAGCTGCCTCCTTCACACCCCCTACTGGGGATGTGCCCGCAACCAAGGTACATGCCCTTGACGGGAATCAAACCTTGGACCTTTCAGTCCGCACGCCAAAGCTCTATCCAATGAGCCAAACCGGTTTCGGCATACTATGTCCTAATGTTTAAGCTGTCATTTCGGTGCTAAGTGGATTTCAGATTGGAAAGAGGCAAGTGGTGGGCTTTTCTCCTGGAGTTCGGATGTCACTTAGGAGACACGGGTATGAACCTGCTGACGCGTGGATGGCAGGGCTGGGCTGCCCTTTCCTATTTGTGGGAAGACCTGTGCCCTCTTCCACACAATGGATGGAGCTCCTGACCCAGCCCCCGTCTGCGCTGGGGTTCTGAGGGGCACCGTTAGAGCAGGAGAGCTGGGCGACTGTGGTTACTTCAGACCAGGCAATGCCCAATAGTTCAGCTTTGGGAGATAAAGGGCAGGCCCCTGCCTGGGGGGTGGGTCCCACACCCACCCAGGTCATTCCTAATCTGGGCTGACCAGGCAAGTCCTTCCAGGCCAGTCTGGGCAAGCCTTGCTGATTGCACCCCGATAGAATCCCATTTCATTATCACACAGCTTCCAGCAATTTTAATTTCCTGCAGCAAAACATGGGTATGAGAATGATTAGGCTCCCTGCCTCTAGAAACAGTGCTCTCATTTTTTTAATAAGGAGGAAGGAAATTGTTCCCTCTCGGGGCATTCATTGTAGAATGCACGACAAAGAGGTCCTCTTTCCTCTGTGAAAAGGGCTCACTTTGCCTTCAAACAGTGAGGCAGGCGGTGAGAAACCTGCAGTTTTCCTGTTAGCAGAACCAGGCTCACTCTGACCTAAGACATTTGTCAGACCATGAACTTCTTTTTTTTTTTTTTTTTTTTTTTTTTTTTTTTTTTAAGAACATCATTAGGATGTGGTTTAAAAAAAAAAGAAGAAGAAGAAGAAGAAAAAATCATGGGTTTGGAGTCAAGCGGATTCAGATTCAGATCCTGTCCTTACCACAAAAGGATTTTCATTCCCTGGACTTTGGTTTTGTTTGTGTGTGTTTTTGTTGTTGTTTTTTTTGTTTTTTGTTTTTACCGTGATAAGTGTATGATAAGCCAACCCTGCTGGACTTGTTTGTTAAAGTTAGTATAACAGTAAGTTCTGACAAAAAGTAGAACAAGTCAATACATGTATAGCCCCATCCCTCATTGCCCTCGTTCTAACTTACAGGCTTCCCAGGAAATGCTGGTGTTATTGACAAATGTCTCCCGAGCAGTTTAACTTGGTGAGACAAAGGCTTGTCAGCCCTGGGCGGTGTGCTGTGGGGAAGAACTGGGAATGACTTCCTGGTGAGACCGGTGTGGGGTCTGCGTGTGGCTGGGTGGGAAGTCTCCCGGGGCCCCGGGTTTGCTCGCCTCTCCGCATTCTCAGCGCAGCGGCCAGAACGATGCTGCACAAACGTGAGTCAGACCACGTCAACCCCAAACTGCCCCAGGTGGTGGCTCCTAGCCACGTGTGGCTGTTTAGGTTTAAACTGATTAGAGTTAAGGTTTTTAAAGTGATAACATACAAAAAAGGGAATAGGATAGTCTTGGTGGAAAGTCTTACTAGGAGTTTGCTTTTAGATATAAATATTGATTTTAATGGCATTATCATGCTCCATTTTATCTTAAAAAAAAGGATATTATAGATCTACAAAACTATCAAAAAGGGTTTAAAACTTATTTAAAATGAAAAATAAGGTATCTGTCATAAAATGTTGTGGTTGACAACATTTTTATTGGTTACAGGATAATTCTTTTTAATGATACCAGGAACATTTCTGCATTGTGGGGTTTTTAGGTGATTCTGCTGTTAAAATGTTTATAAATTTCTCAAACAAAATTAAAGCTTTTTTTTTAAGTAAAAAATAAATTGATTAGACTTAAATGAGCTTTAAAATTCAGCCTCTCAATTATGCTAGCCTTACTACAAGTGCTCAAATAGCCCCATGTGGTCGTAGCTGCCATGTCAGACAGATACAGACCTTTCCCATCATCACAGAAAGTCCCGGAATACTCCAACCTAAAACCTTCTCCTGTTCCCTTATTTCTTTGACCTCATCTTCTGTCATTGTTGCCCCTGTTCTTTCTACTCTAGCCATACCAGCCTCCTCGGTATTCCCGAAACACCGCAGGCAGGTCTCCACCATGGGGCTTTGCTTTTCTCTCTCCAAGTCTTTGCTTAAATGTCAACTTCTCGCCGAGACCTCTCCTGACCACCCATCCATTTGCAACCAAGCCTCCATCCTCCTTACTCTGCTCCATTCCTTCTTGCTACGGAAATCTTTTAAAATATTATGTAATTTGCCTTTTAAAATTATGTTTTTTTCTTCATATTCTGGATCCTTCACAATGTAAACTCACCAAGGGCAGGGATCCTTTGCCACTTTGCTCACTGATGTGCCCCCAGCATGGAGGACAGTGCTTGGCACAGAGCAGGCGCTCAGAGACGAATGCTGAAAAGATGAAGGTCACCTCCATAAGTATACCTGTGACCGTCATCGTAATCAGGTCGTGGGTAGAAACTAAATAAGACAGCTCGGTGCCTCTGAATGGGCAACTGCGTGTCCTCATTCTAAAAACTACACATTGAAACATAAAGACGATGTTGCCTTTCAAATGGCCCTCATATTCCAATTAAGGAAATTAATTTGGTCATGGAGTTAAAAAAAAAAATAAGTGCATTGACATCCCTAAACTTAATCATTTCAATTCCTCATTTTAAATGCGTATTCTAAACCCTGCCCTCACCAGTGTTGTGGGTTATTTTTGTTGTTATTGTATTTCTCATAAGCCAGTCTTTGTCTCCGCTCTCCGGCCCTCTCCAGCCTCTGGCAGGGGCGCTAATGACATGCGAGGGACGCAGCAGGGCAGGCGGTGGGAGGAGAGGGGAAAGCGGAAACAGGAGAAACCCACTCATTGGACAGTCCTCCCTGAGTAACAAAGTTCCTTGTGGTGCTCCTCTCCCTGAGAGTCCTGACAAATCCTTTATGAAAACCCCCCAGGTTCTCTCCACTTCCGAAGGGTTCTGACTCCATGGAGTGCGGGTCTCCACCGGACTTACACCGGCTCCCCTGGAGCTTGCTTCTGGTTTTGCATCCGGAGCGTTGTCCCAATGTCCCTTCCAACAATTTTCCCATCCTGCATTTCTGGTTGGGTTTTTTTTTGTGTGTGTGTGTGTGGGGGGGGGTTTGTTTGTTTGTTTTTTTGTTTTTTTGTTTTTTACTTATTACCTGTCTCCAGAATGTTCTATGAAGACAACCTTTCACATCCTTTTCAAGTCAGGGTCAAGTTCACTTGAGAAATATCACGTTTCTCGGATGTCCCTTCTTTGGTTCCTTCTCCCTTTTCCAGAGGGCCCTAATGGAGGCATTTCTCTTGTCCTCAGGCCGTGAGGCTATCCCTGCCCTGTTAGAAGCAGTGCTCACTCACTCTGCATAGGAAATAATTTGGGGGAAATATCACTTACAATTTCCAAAGGTTAATTTCACCTGCCTGATGAGTACATTAAAGGAGGTCCAGAGCAGATAGGGAGATCCAGAACAGATGGTCCTCACCTGCCCTGTGACGTTCTGAACCGAGAAGAGCCATGGTAACAGACTATCAAAGCAGCACCCACATTCTCCAATGCTTCCTGCGGCTCCCAAAATCCAGTTCCCACCACACAGAGCTTCACATGTGAACTCCGAAACAGCATGCTGACATTATCACACTATCGTCCTACGGTCATTAAAAATAACTTAGACTTCCCCAAATTTCCCCCGAGAGCTTTATCTTTGAGCAGATCCTCATAAGACTAATCCCTGTGCACTAACGACGTTTAATTTTTCCTCCTCTTGGGTGGCTGACAGGGCTGTTCTTATTATAAAGAGACTTCGATGCAAATAAGAGCAATCCTTTGTGGATCTCTCATGAATGTACAAAATCAATGAGGTTTCTTGTTTTCCTGTGAAGCCACCAAAATGTTATTTGTGTGTGTGTGTGTGTGTGTGTGTGTGTGTGTGTGTGTGTTTAAAGAATTTCACCTCACTCTCTATTATTTTCCTGTGACAGGCCAGCCCCCAATTTTCTTTTCTTATTAAGAAGAAATTTTCTTGTTTTTAAGTGTTGTTTCATGGAGAGATACAAAGCCCAGTGCTCCCTTCCCTTTCATGGGTGCCAGTGCGGGGCCTAATGTGCATCCATTATGAGAATTCTTTGTGTGTGTTGAGAGCAGACTCCTGAGTGGATCAAAAAGAAAAAATGTCCTTCCATTATCACTTTAGTCCTGTTTGCCTTGGAGGAGAGTAAACAGGATTATGTATCATTAATATTATTTAGAATAATACCTCTCACATATGCATCCCACTTGATAAGACAGCATCTCTTACATTCTCACATGTGTCCCTTACAATGGCCGAGGCGTGCGGGGAGGAAAATTATCCCAGGTCGAGAGGTGAGGAAGCTGAAGTGTCGAAAGGGGACGCAGAGTCCCAAGGTCCAGTCTCCCTGATGACACCGACCTTGGCCCAGTGAAGCCTAGATTTCAATGAGACACTTACTATCCTGCCACCCTGCCCTCTTGTGATGGTATCAGAACAAGGTCACTAAGAGTGTCCCATGTAGGAGGTCACACCTTCCAGAAAGTTCTGCAACAACCCTCCCAAAACTCTTTTTAAAGAAACCAACACCAGCAAGAAAGCCACTTCTCTCACATTGCGGTAGAATACTCAAACTCAGGTGAAACCCAGACAAGAAATCCCAGGCACCCTGGACCTGCTGCTCTCAGGAGTACCAGTTCCCCTAAGTCACCTTTGCCCTGCAGAGTGGATGGATCCCGGAAAACTCCAGGACTGGACTTGCTTCCAACATCATTCCCTAGTTGACATCTCCTCTAAGGAAAACGTGTCTTGGTGTTTGGGCTCAAATCCACACACTCATTCTAAGAATAAGAAATCTATTGAAAAATGCCAGCAAATAGGCAGGGTTCTCAATAGTCAGGCCCTTGACCCCTCCCATGGAGACCCCTGGGCAACGTCACTTCCTTCTTCCTCAGCCCCTTTTGGTCCTTTGTCACTAGGACAAGTCAACAGCCAGAGTAAGTTTGTACTCACCATGAAATGGAAGCAGAAGGATATAGATTAATGATTTCACTCACACACACACACACACACACACACACACATGCACACACACACATCCTCCTTGCCTGTTGTGGACTGGCCAACGCTAAGCAGAACAAGTTAGCTTTAATGGAAAGATGTCATTGTGTGACTGTCTCATAACAAAAAATCTACTACTATGTAGCCTTGGTCCTCGTAAACCCCCAGCAAGAGCACAGACTCAGCCCCACGGGGAGGAATGAGGGACGTGTAGGGGGGGCAGAGAAGGGACCTGAACAGCTCGCCAGATGTCTAATTAATGCCCCCTGTCAGCTGCTCAAATGTCACTGACGGAGCCCCTCTCCCCGCAGCCAGAGCTATACTGACAAAGATCACGCGCTGATGTCGCTGTGCTCCTGGGTCAACGTGGTGGTCGGCAGGATGACGGCCATAGACCGGGCAGCCAAGCACGTGGTGGTCTCCCAGGAGGACATCGTGCTCTACGACCACCTCATCCTCTGCACCGGGCAGCAGTACCAGGTGAGGCCGGCCGGGCGGTCAGGGTGTGCCAGGCATGTGTGCGCCCTCTGGGTGAGGAGCGCGCCTTCTGCCCGGCAGCTGCCGCTCTGTACTCATGAAGGCGCCCTCCAAAGCCCGCGCACCGGGCCAGGATTGTGTCCGAAACCCTCACGGAAACCCATTCCAAGAAAGGCGCTCGGCTCAGGGATGAAAATGACAGCAGGTCGGGGAAATGTCACTCTTGGCGCTGTTGTCCAGAAGCCTGGCTCGTGCCGCTCAGCAGAGCAGCATCCAGGCAGCCCCGCGTGCGCCGCTGCAGATTAACTTCTGCCGGAGAGGCTGACGTTTGGCGGCGGTGATGGGCTCACGCCGAAGTGTTTCAGATACGGGCACCCCCTGTCTACCCTCGCTTTATGTGGTCTCTCCGCTACGAACCTAGGAAATGTGACTGATGGATTACCCCGTGACCACGCTGTCCACTTTTTTTATGAAATTCTCAAACCTCCTTTGAGGAATGCATTGCTGGATACAGGATACAGCTGAAGCCGTTGAATGTCTTGGGGAAGCAATTGTTAACATTCTCACTCTGCCACACACATTAGCATTCCACACAGCCCACAAACTAGGGCATCTCTGCCATCAAAAGACATTTATTTTGTAACTCAACGATGGGGTCTTTTCATTGCGTTTCTCCCAGAGACCTGGATAGGCCTCCCTTTGGTGGAGAGTACAATTTTTCCTGTTGTAAAAAGGGCAAGAGCTTAATGTGCCACAGCTAAAGCTGCAGGGGCAGCTGGACACACATGGGCAGATGCCCGAGTCTGCCACTCATATTTTCCAAAGTCTGCGCTTCCACCCCAGGCACTACCACCATATTCATGTCTTAGTTAGGCTATCTTGTGAATGGCCCTGATGGGTGAGAGGGTAAGGGGTGGAGGGTAGGGGAGGAGAGGGTGCAGGTTTCCTTTCATAGCCAAGCCAAGGAGAAGCAGCGTGTGGGGGGGTGGAGGACAGCTGAGCAACTGAGTGTCACTTAACCTGCAGCTCTGAGCCTTGCCTACACACTGAGGTCACCTGGAGCACTTTTGAAATACACTTATGCCTGCCCCCAAGCCCAGAAGTGCTGTTTTAATGATTCTGGGGTGGAGACTCAGGACTCAACCATCAGTATTTTTTTTTAAGCTCTCAGATGATTCTAAGTCCAGGCGAAGAACCCTTGACTTGAACTTTCTCAACCTAGAATCTCTCATCTCAGGAGCACTTTTCCAAGTGCAGTGTGTACATACCGCCTCGTACATCTCATTCGAATGCAGATTCTGAGTGGGAAGGGGGCTGGGGTGACTGAGACACTCAGGTCTTACCAGCTTCCAGGTGAAGCCAGAGACTAGACCGCACTCTGAGCCTCTGAGTAGTTTTCTTTTGTCTCCTTCTTTTCTTTTTTCCTAGTTAAAGGGGGGAGGGAGGGAACCTTCGAGGAATGCCTTGTTTTGGCACTTAGGCATTCTTCTCTTTAAAGCACTATACCGGAAGAAAGCACCATGCACCCCTTTAGCTTGCCCCCCTTCACCTGCTCCACTGAGTTCCAGCTGCTGCCTGCAAGCGCAGACTTTGGAAAATATGAGTGGCAGACTCGGGCATCTGCCCATGTGTGTCCAGCTGCCCCTGCAGCTTTAGCTGTGGCACATTAAGCTCTTGCCCTTTTTACAACAGGAAAAATGAACTGAAGAGTGATAAAAGGAGTTCCAATTTAATTTCTCCAGAAGGACATAAAAATTAAAGGTGCATAGAGTGAAAAAAAAATAAAAAATAAAAAGCAGCTGAGTTCCCTTGGAGGTGGGGGGAGTCCAGCTTTTACTTCTTTTCTAATTTCCTTCTCCAACTTTCTCATGGTTTGTCCCAATTTCATAATTTACAAAAACAAAACAAAAACGCTCACACACAACCAAAATGGTGAAAATAAAGCAGAAACCCAAAACAAGAGGATATGTGTTATAAGATATAATTACAAGTTTTAACCTCAAATCAGACCTTTAAATGGCACCTACCATTCTAAAATAGTATGCAGTATTTTGATATTCAAATGAGTGTCACTTAATCTTGTTATCAGATAACCCGTACACAAGATAAAACATTACATTGCACTATAGGGTTGCACGTGAGGAAGGCTGTTCTCTCCCTCCAAGCCAGGGGCAACCACTCTGAGGCATTTTTATTGTTAGTTCTTCAACGCCTTGTCCCCGAACTCCATAGTAATGCATTTGTAGAAGTTTTTTCTTTGATCTGTCAACTTCTGGCATTATCTCTGACCTTTCTGTTTTGGAAGATGAAGATTACCTAGTTTACGTTCAGCACCCTCTGACCCCCGTCTGAACTTTGCCCATGGATTTGATTATGTTTATTGATGAGTATATGCTGGTCCTGAAAACCACTCTGAAACTGCTCAATGTACAACTGAGGTCACTGAGCCGCTCCCATGGCTCATGGAGAGAGAAAAGTGCCTGCCCCTCGCCTGCTTTGGGGTTACCTCAAAAAGAGAAAGAATAAAAATCTGTAAATTCAGACTCAAATGAGTCTGGAATTGACTAAGAGAAGAGGGTGGAGGGGACTCTCAAAGGGGTGACACTCACTGGAAGCCAGCAGGTGGGGCAAGAACATCCAACCAGAGGAGAGATGTTGGTTATGGAGAGCTTGATGTGGTTCAGCAGCATGATGTGGTTGGTCTCGTGGAGACTAATTACATCTTAGATGGGGTGAAGAAGAGCATGGAATCCAGAATGGTGCAGCCGCAGGAGAGAGCCTGCTACAAACACATTTTTAGCCAGAGGGGTGAAGATTCAGGATGCTTAACCTCAAAAAACCTGAAGGGTTTTCATGTAGAAAACTAGTTAGACGTGTACATCATGGCCCTGGAGAGCTGAATTAGGACACACCACCAGATGCGATGAGAATACAGTGCTGATTCAGCCTAAGAAACAACTTCCAAGAATCAGGGTCTTTTCCAACAGGGGATGTCCATCCCCTGGAGACAGCAAAATGCCTCTGTGGAGGCCTCACAAGTGGGCTGGAAACACCTGACAAGAGTTTTGTCTTTGCCATTTGCCAGTTGTGTTAACTGGGGTAATTTTCTGAGGTTCTACCACTTTCATCCCCATTTTATAGATGAGGGATCCAAGATGCAGTGAAGTTATGATGACAAAGTGACAGACTAGGATATAACCAAAAACTTCCCTAAAGGTCATCGGGTTTAATGGCACCCCATTTGTTCAAGCACCAGCCAGCGTTCACATCTGCCCAGTACAACAAGGCACTTTTCAAGAGACAAGAACTTCCTCTGCACCCACATTCACCTCTACTATAAGTGAGCTTTTTGCCCTTCGTGGCTGAGCGCCACCCCTGCATCTCACCCTGAGGCCTTGTACCAGGAAAATGTCAGGCAGCTAGAGCAGGTCTAATAGCAGAGGCATCAAGTTACCTTTAAATCTTGCTCACAGTGTTGGCCTCGTTATCATCCACATAATCACCGGGCTGCCAAATGAAAATTGGAGAGGTGGCCAAAACCGGTTTGGCTCAGTGGAGAGAGTGTCAGCCTGTGGACTGAAAGATCTCAGGTTTGATTCCGGTCAAGGGCATGTACCTTGGCTGTGGGCACATCCCTAGTAGCGGGTGTGCAGGAGGCAGCTGGTCGATGTTTTTCTCTCATTGATGTTTCTAACTCTCTATCTCTCTCCCTTCCTCTCTGTAAAAAAATCAATAAAATATTTTTTTTTAAAAAAAGAAAAAAATTGGAGAGGTAAAAGTTTGCCACTGGGCGAACTCACTCCACTGAGCTATTTTACTTGGTGTTCACAGTGGTATTTGTTTGATTTTAATTTGAACTGAAACAATAATAATAATACACCAACAGTCCTCAGGAAAATAAAAGTGCTTAGCATTTCTTGAGAAATCACATCTGGCCCTACTGAATCCACACTCTACCCTGGTAACAACTGGGCGGAGTTGAGTCATGGCCGAACTCTGACCAGAGCCCTTCAGTTTGCCACAGAGTCCTTGACACTGAGGACAAGTGTCATCCTTTACTGTGTTTTTACTGTTGCTTTCCTTACAGTGTCCATTTTTACTCTGAGTCTAACGTGAGAATAGAAGTTATACTGAGAGGGCTCTGCGTTGAGAGAGATGAAGATGGGAATGAGAGAAAGAGAATATCTCCCATCGCTTCACTGCCCCTGCGGGAAGAGGTGGGTTTTAGGTTTCCTCCTCTTGACCCTGGGCAGGCGTCTAGAATATAATGACCTCCATGAATTGAATATGGTGGAAGGGACACCACTAGGATAACAAGGTGAGATTAGAGAAGAGAACAGAGCTCTCCGGACTGGTTTTTTCTCTGGGGGCACTCGCCCTGGTAACCCAGCCTCCATGCTGTAAGGAAGCCCAGACCACATGGAGAGGCCAAGTGTGGATGTTGCAGCCAACAACCCCAGCTAAGATCCCATCCCACAGCCAATATCAACTGCTAGACGTTTTTGTCATTTTTGGATCCCCAGCAAGTTTTCTAGAAGAAAGAAAAGGATTGTGAGAGCTCATCTCCAAATGATTTCAGCGCCCAGCCTTCAAGTCACGCCAGCCCTCAAGTCTTCCCACTGAGGCCTCTGACATTGTTCACATAGAAAACTGCACCTGTGTGGCCCCCTCCACCCCAGCCCTGTCTGAATTACTGACTTTCAGAATCTATAAGCCTTTTTACACCATTGACTTTTGGAATAATTTGTTACACAGCATCATATAATCAGAGCAACTCCTAAGAATTAGCTTGTTTCAATTACAAGAATTGTATCTGGGGACAGAAAGAAGGCCTTGCTATACCAGACATTGCTATGATTGATTGATTGATTGAGAACTATATCAGTGCTTCATCTGTTACCACTGAAATAAGCATTTCTCTGTCACATGCCTCAGGTCCCATGCCCTACAGGGGCTGATATCAGTCAACACCTGACCACCAGAGACATCCCAGAGGGTAGGAAGCAGCGGTACACTGGTCAGGTTCCTCGAAATCATTTCACTCTCAACGATGAAGAGGACTGCTTGAACGCCCAGATTTGGATAAGAAACCACTCCATCACCACAGAAGGTAAGGGTGTTGGTAACTGCACATCTTTTCAGAGCCGTGTTGTTTCCTTAATAATGAATCTAATTCTTCATCTCGTTCCAGTATTTAATTAATGCCTAATTAATTCCAACCAAATCATTCATCTGTCACGCTTTGTCTTCTAGATTAATTTACAACTTGTTGTCATTTTTGGATCCCCGGCATGTTTGCCGGGGGAAAGAAAAAAAAGGCTTGAGATAGTTTAATTATCTGTAATTATTTTATTATACAAAATGAATATCCAAAGAGCAAAGCATGGCTAAAATCATTAACTAATTAAAGAATAATTTAATAAGCAAACATGTTTAGCAATTATATGGAAAATATGTCTCCTTTTGTGAAGCTGAAAAAGATCGGGGAAGGAAAAGGAGGGTCTGCATCGGAAGGGCTTTCTCCTTCTCACCACCCATTGTTCTCTTGCCGCACAGGCCTTCCCACCAGCACACAACCTCAAGCTGCATGCCACTCTTTGAATCAAAATGAGAGCAGGAAGCATTTGTACACATGCCTCTGCCATTCAAAAGTGTCTGTTCAAGCATCATCCTCTCTATTGCTTGGATTAAATTAAAATTGCTTGACTGATAAAACAACTGGAACAGGGCTGGCTACCTATTTGTCCTGTAATGAACCCTGGCAATCTGCAGAGAGAACACAGTGCAGCCCCTTTATTTTACCAAAAGTGCCGGCCTGGCCATTGACTTGGTTGGGTTATAAAACCACCCAAGGAGCGTTGAGATTCTAACCCAGACCTTGGATTCAGTTCAGGAATGTAAAAATCACTGAATGCCCAGAATGTAGGGAGCAATATGTAAAATGTAATATATAAATGTAATATATATTTAAATATCATCATATTAGTTAATATAATTGCTACATTAAATCTAGCTTCTTCTGATTTTTGGTGGGAGATTTAGGTGCTTGTTGAATTTTGTCAAGTTACTGCATTTCCTACATTAAAAATTATTAGTTTATTACATTAAAAATAAAAAATAAGTATTAGATGAGATCAGTATATTGCTGGATTCAATGCGCTAATACTTTATAGGCTATTTGCACCTAAATTCATAAGTGAGATTGGCCTGTACTTTTCTCTTTTATGCTTTACTTGCAAGGTTTTTAGAATCAAGTGTATACTAGTCCCACAAAATGTTTTTTGGGAAGTTTTTCATATTTTCCTTCATATTTCTTGTAACCTAAAAGTTAAACAGAAATCACCTGTAAAACCAGCTGGATCTGGAACTTTTGGGAAGAGTTAGAATATATAGATATATACTGGGGACCAGGCTTAAAACTTGTTATTTTCATATTTTGTATTATTTACAGTTCTACATTTGTATGTGTTTAAACCTGTTTCAACAGTTCAGTCATTCTTTAATCACTGCCCAATGACCTACTTAGACCTAGAAAATTCTCAATCTGGGGTCAGCTGACTTTTATTATAAGGCCCAGATTGTAAATATGATGGCCTATGCAGGCCATATGATCTCTGTCCCAATGACTCAACTCTGCCATTGTAGCAAGACAGCAGCATAACCAATATATCAATGAATGGGCATGGCTGTGTTCCAATAAAACTTTATTTACAAAAATAGGTGATAAGACATAGTTTGCAGAAGTCTGCTTTTATCCACACAGTTTGTGACAAAGCATTACCATTTCATCTAGTCCAGATGTCAAAATGTACCTTAAACTCCCAGAAAACACAAAAGCATGTCTTGGGAGCGTGCCTAATCCTATTATCATGCAGGGTTTTAACTCCAAACTGTTGGCTGCTAGGCAAATTAGGACTAAGGAATATTTTAACAATGAAGAGGGCTTTGAAACTGGCAATGCAAGTTTTTAAGGTTGACTGTACGTGGCAGAGTCTTTAGAAATCCCAAATCACTGTGCTGTCCTTCGGAGGCCTGCTTTTTGGTCCTCTCGGTTCTTAGATCGGCAAAGATCACCAGTGCTATGCTGTTGACCAATTGTCACAAATGGTGATACTCTGGTGCCACCTAAGAGAAATGTTTTGGTAAGATTTAAGTATGTCTCCAATCAACCACTGCATAAAACCCCTCTGAGTGCCTGCTTTTGTCCACCAAACAGCCTGGATAAGAAGGATGTAGACATTAGAGTTTTTGTTGTTGTTGTTGTTGTTTGTTTGTTTTTGGTCTTAAATGTAGGCTATTTTTATGACATTCCCAAAGTACCTCACAGGAAGGTGCTCTTATTGCTTAGATGCCAGCCTCAAGATCTGGGAAGCATCTAAGATATCTGGCCTGACCAACTTAATTCAACTCTGTGCAGTGGCCCTTTTCAAATCACTTCCATGTGAGAAAAGTTAGAAAGGAAACTGTTAACCTCCTGCCTTAAGGGAGCTCTTTCTCTGTGTACCTTTTCCATAATTAGAGTCATATTCAGTCTTGAATTTAATTAGTCCCATTCTGGATAATATGTTCTCCTATGGGTTGTTGTGAGATAAATGAGATAAATAAGACATAACGTGTCCAACTCAGAACAGTGTTTCAAGCATAGTGAGAGTTCAATAACACAGGCGGTTATCAGCATCACTGTTACTAATACCGCATGAGATGTAGTTATGGCTACACCGAAGTTTCCCCAGAATGAAGTCTCAGCTCCTGCTGTCCTGGTGACAGCACAGCTCAGGACACAGTCTCTGTACAAAAGATGGGGATCTGGGCACAGCAGGTGCCAGTCTGGTCATGGAGAGGCACCTGGCCAAGATGATAGCCATGGAGACCGTGAAGTTCGGGCAAGATTTCCTGAGAAAAGAAGTTTTGAGCTCAGCCATAAAGAAGGGCAGGAAGAGCCAATAGAGAGAAGTGGGGGAGTTTTATTTGTGTACAGAAGACAGTGGCCCAACAACTTGGACTGGGAAGACCCTAGAAGGGCAGCAGAGGGAGATGAAGGTGAAGGAGTGAGTGGAGGATTGCAGGGTCCAGCCAAGTGCAGGTTTAACTGGCTCCTTTTTAGGGGTTGGGGAACTTGTGAAGGGGGAAAGTCAGTGCACAAAACAGCAATTTTGGAATATGCACCTTCTGTTTGTAGCATCCATCCAGCAGAGAGAGAGAGAGACAGAGAGAGAGAGAGAGAATGAGCTGAAGACCACAATAGCGAGTTGGAAATGGGGTGGCTCTGCATTCCAAGTCAGTCATGGGATGATGGTATTTGAAGCTAGAAATAGGAAGTCTAGCTGTGTTCTGTATTCATTACCATCCCTTCACCTGCCAGTTCTTGCTTCCTTTTCATGTCGCCTTAATAAACCCAGGAAAAATGTGGGTGTTTATCATGAGAGTTGGCTTTTTCTCCTGAGGGCTACGTTTCCCTTCTCAATTGTTCAGGGCTGGGTTGATGGGAGGTTGCTGAGGATAGGGCTCGTCCCCTAAGAGGCTGAGGGAAAATATCTCTTGTATCTCATTGGCTGTAATGAGATAACCATCCAGGAATCGCACCAGAATCCTGGAAAATGCCAGGCCTTACGTTGCTGAAGCACAGGGACTTGAAGAGAGGGCCTTGTTTGCTGAGATCAGTGGAGGGGTGGTTCTAGCAGGAGAGGTGGATGCTGGGAGCAAAAACAATGGAGGTTGCTAGGAGGAGGCTGGCTCTCCTCTGAATTTCTGTTCATTGAAACTACATAGATACCACCCCAGCACACCACTCTCCTCCCAGTAGCTGTTTTATCACTCCTTCCTCTGCTTCCAGAGGAGAAACCGTGGTTCTGTGATAGAGTGAGTCCAGTGTGAAGGAAGTGGTTTTCTGGACTCTAGAGTTGGATGAGTTTACAGATATCAATATGCTAACCTATAGAACTGCTCCGGCATCCGGAGAATGACTGATGGCATGGGCTCAAACGCTGCTTTCAACTGCAAACCAAACCAAACCTGGAGGGCTCAGCCGTGGAGAGTCAGGGATGTGGGGGGTGTTCAGTTAGAACTCAGCAACCTAATCTATAATAATAAAAGGGTAATATGCTAATTAGACCAGGCGACCTTCTGGACAGAGCCGGGGCTGTGAGGGAAGCCTGGGTCCCAGGTGCCAAAGGGAAGCTAGTGCCGGCAGCTGGGGGAGGGAAGGCCTACTCTTGCACGAATTTCATGCATTGAGCCTTTAGTACATTATAACAACTTACTTCATTACTTGAAACTAATTGAAATTTATCTGTTATCACCTCTGTACTTTCCATGAAAATGAAAAGTAGAATAAAAGTAAAGTTAAAATAATTGCCTTAATGGCATGAAATCGATCAGTTATTTTCATCTTTAGCTAAATACAGTGGACTATCTTATTAAAAAGCATGTTTGTAGGAAAAGTATAACATTAAAATTCCAGTGCATGAATCACTGAACAAAGCCCTTTTAATGTTATAACTAATATATTCTTCCCTTCTTATTTGGCAGAGCAAAATGGGACAGGTCAGGTTTGGGTTATAGAAATCTTATGCTTTGACTTATAAAAAAAAAATTCTCTGGTCTGTTCCTGAACATGATATCTTTGTTTTTATTTAAATTATTATTTTATTTTTCAATTATAGTTGACATACAATATTATATTTTGTTGACATACACTCCAGTGATTAAACATTTATATAACTTATCAAGTAATCATCCTCATAAATCTAATACCCATCTGACACCATACATAGTTATTAAAATATTATTGACTATATTTTCTTTTTTTTAAAATATATTTTATTGATTTTTATACAGAGAGAAAGGGAGAGAGATAGAGAGTTAGAAACATCGATGAGAGAGTCATCGATCAGCTGCCTCTTGCACACCCCCTACTGGGGATATGCCCGCAACCAAGGTACATGCCCTTGACCGGAATCGAACCTGGGACCCTTCAGTCCCCAAGCCGACGCTCTATCTATTGAGCCAAACCGGTCCCGGCTATTGACTATATTTTCTATGCTGTAATTTATATCCCCATGACTATACTGTAACAACCAATTTGTACTTCTTAATCCCTTCACCTTTTCA